AAGTGTTCAAAAAACGTGTGGATGTGGTGCACTAGGATGTGGTTTAGGGGGCATGGTGGTATTGGGTTGATGGTTGGACTTGATGATCTCGAAGGTCCTTTCCAACCTTAATGATTCTGTGATTCTGTAATCTCTAATAACTCTTGGCCTTTTTTCCCTCGCCTTTTTCTCCTCCTATGTTTAATTTCCTTTCTTTCACTCTGAATGCATCTGCCTCTTTTCCTGTCTTAAAGTTGATGCTGCCATTAGATTGTTCCCCCTTTATTCTTACCTGTTCATCTCCCTCCTGTTTTTCCTCTGGTCCTGGCTCCCAGTGTGGAAGCTTCTGATAGAAATAAACAGATAATTCTTCATTTCCTCCCTGCCCCCCCCATGAATTCTGTCATTTTTCTAACAAAACTCCTTCAACACAATTCCTTCGAATACTGAGGATTCTAGCTGTGATTATTATTTTTTAGCTTTTAACTCTCTCTTGCATTTTACACCTACTTCCTCTTATCTCTGCTTTTTTTTGCATAGAATCTTGTTGCTATCTTTTAGAAGAAAATGATACAATGTGATCTTTCCACTTCTACTCGCAGTCTTCCTTCTTTTTCCCCCTTGCTCAGGGGTTTCTTCATTCTTAATATTCACTGTTTCTTAATATCTCTGCTTTCCCAGGGACCACATCACCTGTTGATATCCTTATGTTTGCCCTTTCCTATCCCTTATTCTTCTTCTCAATGTTTTTTCTGGAGTCCATCTTTTTTAACTTGTATTTAGAAAATAAAAAATACAGAAGCTTTTGATCAGCTTATATCTGGATTTGTAACAAAGTCTCTCTTTTCCCTTCATGAACTATGTTTGAATGTGGGGTTTTCAGTTGTTGCATTGAGTTCCTTTTGTGATTTGTTGGTTGTTTCTCTACTTCAGCCTTTCTTTGGACTGGCTTTTATCCCTTCTGCTACAAATGCTCACTCCAAAGGTGGTGTTTCAACTCATCTAACTTTAGCAGTCTAGACAATAGTTATTCTACTTCATAAGCTTAAGAGATGTTGGAGAGCGTTTCACTTGATTGGTTATGGGGAGCTAATTGGCTGGGACATCTGGTCAAGTTGTTACGCAGCAAAACTTTGAGACTGTCTGACCTATTGTCTTCTGTCTAGATACTGTACTCTGTTTTTGTCTGCTAATTATTGATGCCATTCATGACATACTGCTTATCACAGTCCTGCCCTTCTGTGACTGCTGTCATTTTGTTGTTGACCAACCTCTGTTATCAGATGATTCCTCACTTCAGCATTCAGAAGGAGTTTCTATGGACTCCATCCTAGCTTCCTTTCTTCTCTTTCATAACTTGTCTCTGAATAATCAGAGACAGATTTATTTACAGCCTTTGGATGATCTGAGATCTTTCTTTCTGCTTTAAGCCTGTCTCCTAATGGTATTAAAATCTTAAACCCACTCTCTGATATCTGGCATACCTTGCAGTAATCTCAAGACCAAAAGGTTGATAAGGTTCCTTTACTGTTTTCTGATATGTGATAACCATCCTCTTGCCTGTTCTTTGGGCCCTCTAATCCCCTTGTTGTTGTAAATAAGTTTTTCTAGAACTTGCAGCTTCTTTATTAATAATATTACTAAAATAAATCTGTTCTTTCCCATTCACAGATCTCCAAATCTGATTATCCTCTCTCCATCTTAGGTGTTTAATTATTGCAGTGTTTTGTCTGGCCTGGAAGAAGGCTATCTTGTTTACCCATTATATTCTACCAGACAGTTTCAAAATGTTTTCTAGCCTTGTGTGGTCAAGGTCACCCTTTCTGTTGTTAAGTCCTGACACTTTTCTGTACAAAACAAGTGTATCTGAAGGCAACACCTGACTTGTAAAAATCTATAACCCTGAATCAGATAAACTGAAGTTTCAAATTCTAGCCTTTACAAGCATTTCACATCAACTGCCAGTTAGTAGCTAGAGCTCAAATTGCGATTGCCCCTCCAGACAGCCATAAAGCTTCCCCAGCCTCTTCTAAATTCTTCCTTAAATCTCATAGTCAATGTTTAGGTAGCTGATACAGAGACCCACTGCCTGACACACTGATGGCCATCATTTCATTCTTTTGTCATACTTCCTTTTTTCTGTAGCTGTGTTTTCTGTGTCTTCTAAAATAGTTAAACTGTTAGCACCTTTGTTTTGTATTTTTGTGTTAGCACCTTTATTTTTTATAAGACAAAGCAAAACCACAAGAACAGTCTGGGAAGGGATCCTAGCAACAGAGGCTATTATAAACATGTGATTGTTCAGAACCAGTGTGTTTAGCAATGAGAACTTCTTGCACTGCATGAAAAAAAAATTGCATGCATGTGTGATGGTACTGGCTTGATGCTGTAATTCTGGGTTTCCTTTATGGATATTTGCAGGGACTTGCTTTGGTATCTTTTAGATGAGGATTCTGAGACTGAGCAGTGCTTGGTGACGTTTATAAAATGCCCTAGTACATAATTAAAAGTAAGTAAATACTAGGCTGGAGGTTGGGCTAGATGATCTCAAGAGGTCCCTTCCAATGTAAATGGTTCTAGGATTCTAATGGTGGTTAAGTTTATAGCAATTAAATACAGAAAACAGCAATTCAGATTTTATTTGAGAATCATTTGGAATCGCAAAGAGTAATGGATTTTGTGGATGTGTGAATACATACTAATCTGATGGGTTTTTTTTTTTACCTTTTTATTTACCATTCTTGGGAATGTGTTATGAACCCTGCCACACTTTTTTTTCATCTGACTCACAGTTTCAAAAATGATAACTGTATCCAGCAAGTGTTTTTAGGTAGAATATCAGAAAAGCTTTCATTGTCAGTTCTGCAGTAAAATGTAACGGACATCTATCCAAGTTGATTTGTTTCTTTTTGTTAATGACAGCGAGGAAAATAATTGCTTTACTGGAAGACTGAATACTTGAAATCTTGGAGATTTTCTCTTTTGAAAGGAGTTTTTCAAATTATTTTTTAACTTCTTTTCAACTAAGAACATTGAAAGCTGTTTCATCATTCTGCATTTCAACTTCAGCCAACAATTGTGTCTTTTAGGATGTTGAATAAGTCTGATTTGGTAACCATGCTTCAACAATGTGTGGAAATTTTTGAGTCATCTTCTGGAAAGGAGTTTGATAAAACAGTAGAGAAGTTGAAGGAGTTCTTGACCCAGTTTCAGAAACTAGAAGGTGGGTGTGTACCCTCAAACATTCCATTGCAGATTATATGAAAGCTGTTTTATAATCTGACCAATGGGTATAATTTTCCCTGCTGATATCCTGTCACTGTATCAAACCATTAGATTTTTCAGGACTGTTTTTTTAAATACATGCACAAAATTAGGAGATTTTTTTATTCTTTATTGGTGTGTGGTTCATGCTTTTTGTAATACAGAAGAGTGATGTAAGATAAGAAATTGGACAGATCAGCAAACATTACACACTAAATCTGTCATACGTAGATTTTGAGCATTTTACCAGATGTTGCAATCACTAAAAACATTTAACAAATAAAACCAGATATTGAAAGATAAATAGGAGCAGTTTTCCCTATGACATGGTATTTAATCCAAATGTATGTAAAGTTTTTTCACCTGCACCTTCAGTTAAATTCATATAAGAGCTAGGACACCAAGCACCAGTTGTCAGGGCTCTGCTGACATGCTGTAACTTGTCATGCCCATATATTTGATTGTTCATGGTAGAGGTATCTGGAAGTTGAGTAAGGCAAATGAGTAGCAGCCTACCGTCTTTCAGAGGCAGGTTAACAGAAACTGCCATATTCATTCTGAAATAGGAATATGACATATTCCAGCATTCTTCTGGAATAGGAATCTCGTTGCTTCCCCCAAACTATGGAGAAGTGCTCCTCTATGATTCCCTTTTGAAGATGAAGTGGTTATCATCTGGTCTGTTTTATGCATATTAAATTAACAGTTCATTATCAGTGTGGTTGCTAACCAGCATTTGGACAAGTAGGCAATGAGCCACTAAATGTGGTCTAATATTAATTAAAGTAGTCATGTAACCCTCTAGTGTTAACTGAGGCTTGTTTAGAATAATTGGCTCTTGCCTGTACTATGTATTTTTTAATAGATGTAGTAATAGCAGGGATGTGGTACAGGAAATAGGTGATGACTTTGAAAAAGCTGTATATGTCACTGCAGATAGCAGCACTGAAGAATCTGAACTACGATGGAAAGCCTAAAGGTTCATCTAGTTTGTAAACAAAGAATTGAAGCAAAAAGCTTCTAAGTAGTTGGTTTTTTACCTTGAGAGAGTAAATAAAAAAGAACAACTCTGGGAATTCAGGAACATGCAGAACTATAAAACACTTAGGACTTGAAGATGGTTTTAAAGTAGAGGTCTAATGAATCTATGAATGATCTTAGTTTTTTTTCAAAGCAAATTTAAGCTATAATGAAAAAGTGAGAAGGGGAAGTTACGATAAACTTTACATTAATAGGTTGCTGAGTTAGGTTACTTCTTCCTGTATGTTTCTGTGATTGTGTTGATCTTTAGCAGGAGTTTTCAGAAGTCTGCCAAAAATATTATATACCCAAATCTCCCACAGAGCCCTTAGAGTGAAAAGATAGTCCAAAATTTTAAAAAATTTTTTTTAACAACAAAGTCCATCTTCCCAACTACCTAATGAACTGGGGGAAAAAAAAAAGAAGCTTAAGGAAACAAGATATCCTTATGTTCAGTCTATTTTGAGCTGAAGGATTTGATAAAAAATATCTCAAAATATTTTGGTGTAGTAGTGGAGAGAGGAAGTTCTCTGTTTTGAAGTCTTCAACACGAATACAAACGTCCACAGGGCACTGGAAAATTCCAACTCATTCTATGTAGGTCACCAGAAAGCTTTTATATATCATGATTGTCACTGCTGATTGGAGTTTTACCTGTGATCTGTAGGAGGAATCTCCATCTTATTACCATCTTCATAAGTAAGGCAAAAAATCTAGTTACCTTTTGATTTTGATTATCACTTGTCCTGACATTGGTTGTGCTTTGGGAATTTTTGCTTGTTTTTACCTAAAGATTACTAATTATTGATGCAATTCATCAACAAACTACATGGCTATGAAAACAAAATTTTGTTATAAATTAAGATGAAAATAAAACTGGACAGTGAAATACCTTAGCACACTTTTGGTTTGCTGCTCTGGTTGCCGTTTCTGGGTTAAGTAGGGAGAACTCGTTTCTTTCTTTGTGTTTTTTTTGCACAAGAAGGAAAAAATATGTGGTGTGTGGCTTTTTGAACACTCCTAAAGCATCAGTAATACCTAGTACTAATCTGTCCGACTTACAAATGTTGAGAGTATGACCTAGGATGACATAAGAAGAATTCAAGCGATGTGCAAGGCTTGTGCTGGATCTTTGCTCAGGGCTGAATTGCTTCGGTTACTTAATTACTGTTGGTTATGCTGCACTTGCAGACTCCTTTGTTAACAATCTTTTACAAGATGCAGGACTTGGAAGCTGCCTGTGTTTGGGTCTATGTGAACAAGTAAATGAACGCTTGTCAGATTGCTTGGGTTAGGGGGTTTATATAGGGAGTCAGGGAAAGTTTACCCCACATATCAAACATTAGTTTTGTTCTAGTAGCAGAAGCTTTCCAAGAACGAGATGTGTCCGTATCGTCACAAAAGGAGCTCCAGAAGAAGACAGACCTTTATCATCTTCAGAAGGTTAGGCCTGCGTAGGCTTTACTGACTAGTTCCTTAACTGAATCTTTTAAGATGTAATTGTCCATGGTTAGTTCTTCCCAGCTTGCTGGAGCTCTAGTAAAGGTTGTGTTTAAGTAACTCTTCTTAAAAATGAGTGAATAAGTACGAACTATGTACGTCAGGCCCACCTGACGCATAGAAAATTACAGAATATATCTGTCATAAACCAGGATTTTAAAATGCAAATTAGGGCTTTTCTTCTTATTTAACTTGTAAATTACACATTCTGCCTAACACATATTTCTTTGAATTTCCCAAACTCCCACCAGTTTGAGAACTGAATACATTGGCCTAAATAAAAATAACTGCACGATCACACTTTCAAACATCATCAGTGAAGACATGCCAGCAAAAACTAATTATACATGTTAAACATATAGATTGTGCTCTCCAGAGAATAACTACCTCCCATGTAGTTTTATGCACCACTTTTTTTTAAAGACTTTGTTGGAGTTGAAGGAATCAAGGCGATCTAAGAAACTGACAAAGTTTGAAATGCTTCGTTTTGAAGTTGTTGACTATATAGACAGTCTTGTAAGGTGAGCTTTCCTGTTTTATATTTCTGCATTAGTTTGCACCGTAAGTTGCAAAAGAATTTTTGCTAACATGTTAGTCTTGTTAAAATTGTGCCTTGTTCCCTATGGTATGAGGCACACTTTTTTTTCCTTCCTATATTTTCTTTGATGGAGGACTCTCAAAATAATAATTAAAAAGAAAAATCTCTTTTCCATAGATTAGTAGAAGTAATTGGCACATGAATTGACCAACTTATTTTGGCTACAGAAAAAAGTTGAGGAGGACTGGGTATATGTGGCAAAATAAAGTCTTTACCCTAATCTTTGCTGATCTGTTCTACTTATGAAACTGTATAGATGTCAGGTGTGATATCCTGTCCATTCTGGGAACTGTTTCAGTGAGCAAGGCATAGCAGATAGGATTTTGGAGGCAGCTCTGTAGCAGAAAATGTGAAAGGCTTGGGGTGGGGGAAGAGATGAAGGCACTTGTTAATTATAGAGCCTTGGGGGGGAGGCAGAGAAGCTAACGGAATTATGACTCTGCCAAGAAAAAAGCTTCAACTGTGAAGACAAAGATGTGCAGAGACTCATCAGGAGGCCTCAAGCTGGATAAGCAAGATCTGTCGAGTAGAGTACCTGATTGATGTTAGCATTTCAGCTGCTGCCCTTATTTTTGAATTTGTCAAAATTCAAGCTAGAGTTCTATGCTAAATCCATTAGATGTAGTGTTCATAATAACTTCTAAGCAGGGAAGTCAGTTGATTTCAGCACTGTTTATCTTGTTTTTTCAGAGATTTGTCAGTACTAGTTGGGAAACAGATTCTTGTAGTCTCTGACTGCAGTAGACTTCTGTTGTTTCCCTTAAAGTAAAGCTCATATCTCCCCTCCTTCTTCCCCCATACCGCATGTTGCTTTTTCAGAAATTACCTTGTTCCTGCAGACCACAAGACTCTGCATGAGATAGCATATTTCAACACAGCCAGTGTTCTCCGTGGGCGCTTGAATGCTGCCCCAAGGATTGCACTTCATACAGCTTTAAATAACCCATACTGCTACCTGAAGGTAAGAAACAAGTGAGGAGTTTGTGGTGCTGGAATAGTTTCTGAAGGCTGCGCATGAGGATGATGTGTAAGGCTTAGTTTTGCTGTTTCATGAAGCTTGGCACACATTCAGCTGTTTTGCAGAGAACCAGCAAGTTAGTGTTGATAAGCAACTGGGGACTTTGCAAAGAGCTAGGGAATCTGTCTGGCTGAAATAAAGAAGCTAATTATGGAAAGAGTTCTATATGAGGAATCCATTTTCCAGAGCCTGTTCTAGTCATGATCTTTTCTTTCTCCTGTAGATGTAGCAGAAAAGTCATTTTGTCCCCCATTACAAATGGGCTGACTGTCCATGGGGAAAAATACAGTGTCTGTGGCTCCTTCCAGAGACTTTCTTTACAGGACTGGTGCTTAGTCCTCACTGTGTAAACTTGCTGTAAGGTGAAGGCTCTGTTCAGGCAGAGTAATGACATTAACGATAGCTTAAATACAGAATGTTTAAAGGAGTCCTTTGTTTTTCTTTTTACATTTATTTTAGTATCTGTTGTGTATCAACATGCCATCTTTTCTGAACCCAAGAAAAGGATTGCCACTGATTCTATTAGTTAACCCTGCCCTTTTCTAGAGAAGAAAAGCAGCACCTTTTCCACTTCTTTCAGAAATTAAATTCACAGGATGACCAAATGAAAGAAATAGAGAGGGATTTGGAAAAGGAATGAACATACATTTCTTTGTTTTGTCCTTATTATAGTTGCTTCTTGGAGTTATCCTCATGTTCTAACATTTCCCTTAAAAATGTGATTACAGTTTTGAAGAAAACATTGGTTGTAGCTGTATCTGAGTCAAAGCCAACACTTATCAGGAATCATACTTGATAAAGATCAGTCTTTGAAATCTACAACCCAATTCGTATTGGGTTTGTTGGCATTGTGCCTCTATTTGAACGAGGGTTGTCAGTTTTGCTGTGTGCAGGAGTTATTTCTAAAACCACTGAAAGAGCTTATTGGTGAAAACAGTAGTTAGCAAGTGGGCTACCAAGACATCTAATATGATCCTCAGTAATTTATATTTTTAGCAAACCTGTAAAAATATAGATTAGGAGAGCTAGCAAAATTTACTTACTGATGTGTTTAATAAGTATTCTCTTTGATGAGTTGACAGGATTTAAAGCCCTCTGTCATCCTGCACTTTGTTCTTTGACATACTTTAACACATTTCTGATGTTTACTGAGTAAATTGTGAAGTTCTGGCATAGTTTCTAACAGCAGCAGTATTGGCTGAGCACCTTGCTTAGCATTTTAATCCATGTAAGTCGAAGAAATATTTTTTCTCAATTGTATCCATGACTGCTGCAGGGCTTGTACTTTCCTGGGCCATGACCAGAGCAAAGTTCTCTAGAGCCGTTCCTTCCAGAAGGCTAGGACAGAAAAAGATCTGCTTGAGTGGAGTACCAGCAAATGATTTAATGTGTGATGCATTTCTTACAGGAATCCAGTCCAGTTATTTATTTAGCAAATCGTGACCCAAGAATCATACTTATCCTGAAAAAAAAATTCCACAAAAAGAGTACTTCTGTTTTCACTGACACCTTGAAAATTCAACAAGTTATAACTTGGAATATCAGCAAGGCAGTGCTTAGTACTGTGTCAGCACAAGGAAATCTAATCTTGGATCTTCCTGGGGTTTAAATGGTCGCAAAAGTTTTGTTCTTGACCTTACATAAGAAGGGCAATTTTCCACATTGATCTCAAGGAATGTGCCCTGCTACTCATAAAGATACTTTGATTGCTATGAAACAAAAATCCTCAAGTATCAGGGAAAGGGGATACTAGCATTTGGTCCTTGGGAAAGATAGTAACATCGATTACAGAGCAAGGTGCAAGTCTGTCCTCTGTCTAGCCTCTGGGGGCAGGGTCAAGCAGGAGAAACCCCTCATCAACAGTGTTCTGGGTTGTTCCCACTCCCAAGCTCTGCTGCTGTACAGGTGGTTTCACAACTGGCTGCTGGTTCTAGGGCAGCTTCCTGCTTGTCAGTCTAGCTATTTCCTCTTGGGGACAACGCGTGTGCTGCTGCCTCAGGAAGCTGAGGTTTGCCCGCATGCAGATGCAGCTCCCTCCTGCTATGCTGTAAAGACTTGGCCTAGTTATCCCAAGTGAGGCTGAATTCTTTCAGGTGCTGGCAGAGACCCTGCAGTGCCAGTCAGTAAATGTCTTTCCTGGATCATTCTTGGCACTTGCAAGCGATGCAGCCAGATATTAATTTCTACAGGTGAACCTGTTCCAGGAGAGCACAGTTGCTCTAGAAGTTGCATTCTCTCTTCTTTGTGGTAACTCTTCTGGCCTTAAGGTTAGAAAATCAATGCAAAGTGTCCAGTAGTGCCAGAGTTGGCATATGGGTGAGTGGTAGGAAGCCATAGAGTTAGGTGAAGTAGCAGAGGGGAAAAGAGAAAGGTGCAGGGTTATCCTTCTGGGCAGTAGTGAGCCACTACATCAGCCAGAAGGTGTAACTTCACCTGTGTGGGTTAGTAACACAGGTTAGTAACACTTTGAAACTATTATGGTATGCTCCTGAATTATAGTCTGGTAAATTAATGTCTGGATTGTAACATTTTGAGGGTTTAGCCATGTTACTCTGAATTGATCTGGAGACCATCTGTACTGAACTGACAGACATTAACCAACCTAATGTCTGCAGCTTTGGTGTTCCTGGTACAGAATAAATAAACATGAAAATTGTTAGGCTTTCTGGAAATTGTGAAATATCTCATTAAGGACTAGAGTCCAAGTCTTACAAATTGCAGGGATTGAGATCTATGAAAGGTAAGCTAGAGATTATTGAGCAAAGCTATATTCTTTGCCCATCCTTCTTTCCTGTCTTGAAAAGCATTTATTTATAAAGATATCCTTGCTAGGCCTTTATAGACTTCCCAAAAGTGACTCACATATTTTACTAGCATATGAAAGCATTTTAGCAAAAATTTCTATAAACTGAAAAGAATGATCAGTGGTTGTTTTCATGTTAAGTGAGCTCCTTAAGACTTCTCAGAGTGCATGAAACTGAAAACTGGGAAAAAAAATCATTAACTGATATTAAATGTTGTAAATTTCTGCAGCTCTACAGACTTCTGCTTCTGGATCAAGTGGCTTTTTTTTTTACTTATCAAGTAAAAGGTTCACTGCTGATGACCTGAATTTCCTGACATATAGAATACTTTGTGAGAAATCAGACCTTTGCCTTTATAGGTTCTGAGTTTCAAGCCAGAGAGAAATGATTGTTACAATCTAAAGATAAAACTCAGAGATGAGAGAAGCAATTTTGCTTTTTAATACATCTGATAGATCTATACTAAGACTTCCTCTTTCCTTTTGGGCGGGGCGGGAAGGGACACTTTTCTATTTTCTGCGTATATACAGTCTGAGGCAAATCTTGACTAGTTTCTTCTCCTGAATTCGTAGAACACATTATTTCTCTCTGATATGTAAATAGAACTAGCAAAAGAATTAGGGAAAAGCCTAATCAGATAATCACTCATTAGAGTAGAGACTGTGTAAGTGTACAAAATTGCAGGAGGAACACTCGGAGTGAAGTAGCTGGGTGGTTTTTTGGTTTGTTTTTTTTTTTAATGGTATGTTTTCTTATTTTCCTGGCTTGTTTTTTTTGTGGTGTGGGGTTTTTTTTCTTTATACTGTCAACTTGCCATTAAACACACAAACAGTAAACATTTGGTTAAAACACCTGAAATTATGTTGTATCTAGCCCTTAAAATTGTTCAATATTAAAACCTGATTAAAGTTACTGCCTTCGTTATTTTTTTTCTTCATCAGAACCAAGCTTTGAAAAGTGATGGAGGAAGCATTTCTAATAAAGCCCCTGACATATGCATAGTGTATAAGCTTCATCTGGAGTGTGGCAGATTGATTAATCTTGTTGATTGGTTAGAGGTATGTGACAATGCAAACAGTGCCTTTACCTGTTCTCAGTATTCTGATCTTTTTGCTACATGTCTGCTTTTCTTCAGTGCCCGTTTTGACAGCTTGAATCATGTCATATCTAAGTCCCTCCTGTGCAAGAACACACAGTAACGCAAATCACCAGCCCACAGAGTCTTCCTCTGACTACTGTGATTCATTTATTTCCAGCATTATTACTCTGTGATGAAAATCCTTTGCTTCTCCTTCTATTTTATGCTTGGCACAGATCAGATTTTATGCTTCACAAAGCTACCTTTTTTTCCCCTTTTTAAATATTCTTTAAGAACTTTATTGAAACAGGCAGGTAGCAAGAGTGTAAGAACATACATTAATACGATGCATTCTCCAAATACTCCCTAGCTAACAATCATGTTTTAGCTCTAAAGTTTCCTAAACTGGAATGGTTTCCCTGTATTTCCTAAGCCTATCTGGATTACGTTACCAATAGAACTTTTTAGCAACCACAGCATCCTCTGGCAAGAAATTCTGTAGCTTAACTACAAGCAGTGCAGAGGATACTCCATTTACGTGTTCTGAGTATGTTTTGTTTGCTGCTGCTGCTGTGTTTGTGTACTGGAAACAAAAGTGAACAGAAGATCCCTACCTAGCCTCTTGCTGCCCCTCAATTTTACAGATTTCTTCACAGCCAGCTTATCGCCTTCATTTCTCCAGAATGTTTAAGCAGTCTCACTTTGAGAATGTTTTTCAGTTCTGTATTTTTTCTGAGTATGGGTCAGGGACCAGAACTGTACTGGGATTTAAAATGCAGGCACCCGAGTTCATAGAGTGATGTCTTCCCTTCCATATTCCTGCCATGGCAGTATATGTAACCTTGGTTGCTCTTCTGATTGATTGCTGCTGAACTGACAGTCTCATGGAGTTACCATTCCAAGATCTCATTCCTCCTGAGTGATGATAGTCATCAGCTCAGAGCTCATTATTTTACATGCTGCTTTGTCTATGAAATGTGTTTAATCTGTGCTGCCTTTCCCTTTCTAGGCTTTCTCAACTGTGGTGATGGCAGCTGAGGGACCAAATGCAGATGCAGCTTCCTCAGACCAGGTGGATGATATTATCCAGTATCCTTTCTCCTTTCTCTCAAGTTTGACATTCAAATGCTTACAGGATTAATGAACAATTTTTTTTTTTTAATACAGCTTCACGGGCACCTATAACGAACTCTAGAAAAATGACTAAACAGCCTTCATGTACTGAAAATGTCACAGAAATAGATCAGCTGAACTAGTTGGGCTGGGGGTGGTGAGGTAAGAGAGCAGCTTTGGTCCACAGGAGCTGTTTGTGTCTGAAACAGAACCTACAGTCAGTAGAACAAGTTGAAGCTATTCTACTCAGTTAATCATCTGAGAGTTGGTACAGCTGCTGTATAGGGGAGAGCATTACTGGGGAACAGGTGACAGGATAGTTGTGACCTAGAGAGCAGATGGAGAAATAGAGACAGTAGCTTATTATGAGGAAGATGGAAGCATTGGCAGAGGAAATGGCTCACCAAAGTAGTCTCTCTGTGGAAGCCCTATGAGTTCTAGTACCTCAGAGCTGAGAATTTTAGCTTTCACAAAACATCCATTCTTCTTCTCACTTTGTCCTGATTCTTAAGTGAGGTTTGCAAAATACTTAAAGGATAAGCATTAGAACCAAAACTCACGGCTACAAACAGCACTGCTGCCAGAGAGAAGAGATGTATAGTTGTACAAAAGGAGGCTGAACTACAGGAAGAGTATTTATATGCTCTAATACTACACCTAGCTTTCCTTTAGTAGAAGGCCTTTCCTTTTTTACAAGCTCCACTGGTAATTAACACAAAACTAAATTCTCTATTGAACTCAAGGATAGATAGCTGTGTGTCAGGAAGGCAGCAAGAAAGGTATAGTGAATAGTGAATAAAGAAAAGCTGATGCTGCTTTATGAAACCTCAGAAAAACCCTCTACATTATCTGTCTTCCTATTTATTTTGTCAAGGCACATGAAAGTATAAATTCTTTCTTCTTCTGAGAGACTACAAAATTACTATCTTTGTAGGCTTTAAGCTTCTCTTAGCAGCAGGGAATGGAAGTCCGTCTTTGTTGCCACATTGTAGGCATGTAGCAAAAGAAATACCGATTGAAGATTTGTGCTTCTGCAGGCAAATTATACTCTGCCCTGATTTCCAATGATTTCGGTGTTCCATGCAACGTTTTACATAATCTGTGCTTGCCATGGCTTAGAAATCTTCCCCTCATAAAGAGATTGGTGTCTCCATTAATGTGCGTCATAAAAAGTATACTTGATTTCCTTTACTGAACTGTCCAGTGCTCGTTTTATTCGAGCTGTTTCTGAACTGGAACTCTTAGGCTTCATAAAGCCTAGCAAGCAGAAAACCGACCACGTGGCAAGGTTGACATGGGGAGGCTGTTAATGGGCCACTGAGGTCTTAATAAACCCGTTCTTTGTAACATTGGTCAATGGCTGTGTTCCCACAAAACAACTTTGCATACTGAGTCAAAGTCAACGATGACTGAATGCTGTGAGATACATTCCGAGTGCTGGGATAGACTTGAATAGCAATGTTGTTGTTTAATACTCATCCTCCCTGTGAATGTACTTCTCAATTAATGCTTATGTTCCAAATGCTGCATTGTTGTGCCACTTTTAATCTTCTTTGATGTGCGATATTTAACACTATGCTGATATAATTCAGGCTAGCAAGCCAAAAGGACAACACAGGCTGTGTAAGCCACAGAAGTGATGAAGCAGTATTACTAACTTGCTTATGAGCAGATAGGATTTGAGTCATCATTATAAAATGCCTTCCACATCCTTGAACTACAGATTTAAAAATAAATAAAACCAGTATGCTTAAAAAAGACAATAAGCTTCCATGTTCAGCCTCTGCTGCATGTTTCTCAAACCAAAACTGGTCATAACTCCTTGAAAATTCCTTCATGAGGAAGAGAGAAAAGAGCAAAAACAAACTGTTTAAATCACTCCCTTTTTCTGGTGAAGGTGGTGAGTACTAGCTGACTTCTGTTGTCAGAGGAACTTGTGTCAGCATAGACTAAATGAGAACATGGCACTCATGCACACTGGAGGAAGGTAGCAAAATCCACACCTGAAGTACACACTGTAACTTTTCCCTTTACTGAGGATTTGTACTGTACACAAGCAAAGGAACAGCTGTTGGCTGAGAGCATTAAAGCACTGCCTGTCTGACAGATCTTCCGTTGAAGAACCTTCTTGGCCACTTGGCCCTGCACAGCGAGCACGCAGTAAGCAAGCCTGGGATGCCAGCACCAAAGTATCAGTTACCAATGCTGTCCCCTTTGTAGGAACAGGACTGGGATGGCTCACAGCTGCTTCTGATTTGGTCAGGATAGACCAAAGAGCTGCTCTTCCCTGCCTGGAGCCAGTCACAGATCAGTGCCCGATACTGTGACAAAAGCCACAAAGTGCTGTGCCGAAGCACTGGAAAACCATGGTCATTGCTGGAGTTCTGGTCCCCAAGGAAGCCAGGGTTGTGTCAAGAAGAACCTACACTATCAGAGTAACACAAGTATGTCCTAACCAGCCTGGTCTTTCTTCTTTGGCACTGAAAAGCTACGCTGCAGATCTTACTGCGTTGAGCCACAACTTCCCTCAGACTCTGTTTGGGGAGCTAATGTGCTTATGCTGATGTCGGCATCCCGTGTTTTCCAACCGTAGAAGAAGCCTTAGAAACCAAAGGGGAAAAGCCATGTTTCCCTCCAGCACAGGGTGCCTGTCTGCCATACATTGATAAACTGTCCCCAGGCCTGCACCACATGCATTTCAGCAGTAGGGGTGGAGACTTCAGGTCAGTCTTATCACCTAGGAAAGGGCTGCAGTTAAGAGAAAAGTGTTTAGACTTTGTCCCTCCCAGCCTACTTAAAAGTTGAATGGTGATTACTTTGTTGTGAAAGACTGTATTTACCTCTAAAAAACTCCCAGCCTTCCTCAGCTGACTGAGGGAGGATTACAGACTTCACTTTCCTTCTGCTTGAAGCATTTAAGTGGTGCTCTTAGTGCACATGTTCAGCTGTCACTAGAATCCAGATGCTCCTACCACTTATAGAATCATGAAGGTTGGAAAAGACCTCTAAGATCATCAAGTCCAACCCTCAACCCAACACCACCATGCCCACTGAACCATGTCCCAAAGTGCCACATCTACATGTTTTTTGAACACTTAGTTGCACTGGCACTTCAAGTCCACTCAAAACAACTGAAAACGATCTCCTGGAGCTCTGAAGACTGAATCACTTGCATAAACCACATCTGTACTAGGACCGGGGGAAGTCCTATTACAAGAACCTATAACCTACCAGGCTGTTTACCCAGGAACATATACACAAGATAGGTTAGGCTTGTTTTAAATACCCTCAGAGAAGGCAGGAGTCATGTTTTCCAGTTGCTGTCATTGCAGAGACACAGCAACACTTCCTGCTGTACTTAAGGGAGGGCCCAGTTCTAAATGCTGCCCAGCAAAGTAAGAGGCTGAGGAGGACGAGTAGTTTATCAGACTTCATACTGCCTAAACTTGGGTTTATGTAATGATGAAAACTCAAGAGCAAGAATTTTTAGGATCTCAGTGGAGCAGTTGAAGGTTCCTCTCTCCCACCAAGACATGGGGTAAGCAAACCCAACTGCTCTTCACTCCCAAGACCAAGCTAGGGGACCCATATCGCAGTAGTCTTTACATGCAAGGATTTCAAGCAGCAGAGAGGAAAGTGAGAAATTTCAGTGGGAGAGGAATGCTAAGTAGCCCTCCTTTGTCCTGAACCTCACCTATTTATCTTGCAAATACACTTGACAAGTGAAAGGGAGCAGCAAAACAGCCAAATGCCAGACAACATGGAGCCAAGTGCTCAGAGCAGCTGTCCTCAGCCACCTGCCTGCAGCTCCCCCTCCTCTAACCCCACCCCATGCCACAGAAGCCCACACCAGCCAACTTTCACACCTCACCAGGGTATGTGGAAATAAAGAGAAGCAAGCCTCAACAATGTGTGGCTTTGAACCCCAAACTGTGCAGGCAAAATGACATTAAAACAGAAAAATTAATGTTTAATGTCTGTTTCTTGCCTTTCACTAATAACATAAATTTTGAAGGCTATATACGGTTTATCAGGATCAAATCTTTAATTCAGTACTTGGCACTTCAGACTGTAAGATGTATAAAGGGGAAATAATTGACTAAAATTATGACGGAAATACTAGTTTCATTTTCTTCAGCAAGGAGGGTAGGAAGGTTGGACAGTTAAAAACACAAACTAAACAAAACTGGTCATAAATTTCATTCGGTTTGCCTTTCTTCAGAGGCTGGACTTTGTAGTCAGAGTCCCAGCTGCCTGGAAAGAGCTTAGCATTGCTAAATTCTGAACCAACATCAGTAACAGCAGAGACACTACAGCTATGGGAAAGCACCCCATGCTTTTTTCCTGTTAATTAAATTCCGGTGCTAGGGCTCTAATACCATCAGGCTTTCTGTCTGCAGGTAGTCTGGCTATACAGTATGAATTTTATGTTTGGCTTCTCTCCTATGATTTATTTTGCTACTTTTTGTTGTACAATATTCCAAACTCACTCTCATGTACCTTAGCTGAAATGCACACACAGGAGATTTCAACTGCAAATATACATGTAATTTTAAAATGTTAAGTTCCTACAACTATCTGCATAGTAGTAACACGTTCTGCAGATACTCCAGAACACCTTCTCTGTCTGCAGTGTTCACTGAAAGCAAACACAACCAAAGAAAAAGCCAGTGTTTGTATTGTGGGTACTAGCTCTGAAACTGTAACAAGATAATGCCTCACCTCTGAACGGACAACTGTATTGTACTCCTCAATAGCCACAGCTTTCAACAAAACTACTGCCAAAAATCAGACCTGAAAGCAAGTTAACTCTTGTTAGAATCATTTACCCCCTTTTTTCCCCTCTACTGCTACAGATGTTGTTGACAGTTTTTTACACTACTGGTTTCAGACACAAACTTGGTAATTTTTCTTTTATCTTGGAGCCTACAACATCAGTAAAATGTAAGAATAAGCCAGGTGCCTCTAAGAGCAAAACATTCGTCCTTGCATTTTTCATCTCAGAGAATGGCTTCCAACACAAAGGTCACAAGCACTGGGCTCACAAGAGCATAAACTCTTTAATACTTTACCAGCCTCGGATTTTTCCTCCTCACTGTGGAATCACAGAGCTAAATCCTTCCCAATTCCCATCTTGGGAATGGAGAGAGCTTTCACAAAACACAGTTTTTAAAGGAATCTGCTAATGGTCTTGCTGTTCAAGAGTACACAGGCAGATCTCAAGCACCAGCACAGAGGATTGCTTGAATTTCCTTCCTCTTCAACCTTGAAAAATGCTGAATAATCTTATGGTTATAGGCTTTCAGGTCTAGGCACAAAAATCAACACAGAGTCAGGATGTACATGCTGCTTTTGAAGTATACAGCAACTGCTATCTGCTAGAAAAGAGTTTACACATCACTACCTTAAAAACATGTTAACCAAGATCTTTGGTTTCACTCTGTTAAGCTGCAATTAACAAGTCCTCAGCTTGCTTTGCTTTTCAATAGACTGCCATTACATACAAATTGTGAAAATGTTCTAAATGTGGCCACCACAAAAAGTAGTGCCAGGAATTCAGTAATTATTGAATCTTGCCCACTTCTACTTGACTCAAAAGCATTTGAAAAGGCTCTCCAGAGCAGATTTGCTTTTAATCACCAGCCTGCTCCTCACAGGACCCCAATTCTCATTTTTTCAACAGTAATCAAGCAGCCAACCATTTTCCTGATAAAGAGCAAGTCACCTGTTAGAACAAGCCTTTCATGTGAAATTCATCACATCAGATACTGGCAACCAGATTAGGAAATGGAGCCAGTTTAAAGTCCAAGACAGAACAAGCAGCAGGTTAAAAAATGAAAAATTTCAAAGAATGCGACCTCATTTTCAAACCAGTCACAAATTAGGCATACCACAGCTGTGATGCATAAGCACCCATGGTGGCATTATATTTAACCAGCCAGAAGACTGCTTATTATGCAATAATTTGGAGCAGCACAGGAGTGGCAGGGTGCTAACATGACATCACTTCTTATTTATAACAACTCTTAATATCCCAAAGGAAAAGATAAGCTGAGATGTAGTGATGATCACAATGGCTGGTACCTTAATTCTACTCCTATCTCAAATTATCAGGCATACAGTCAGAATGTCTGACTATCAAGTCAGAACAAGGATCTTCTAAGCACACAGGAGATACAGGAAATGTATCAGGATGCTGGAATTTGGGTAGTGGTCCACCTAGAAGCAGTGGTTTTCCTACTATTGGCAAGTTAATAAGAGGTCATCAAAAGACAAGGAGCAGGAAGGAGAGTGACTGAGAACCCTGAGGCAGACAACAGAAATTACGGCCCTTGATTTGTCTTCAAC